AGAGAGAGAGAGAGAGAGAGAGAGAGAGAGAGAGAGAGAGAGAGAGAGAGAGAGAGAGAGAGAGAGAGAGAGAGCGACAGGGCGCGCGAGAGATTGCTGCGTTTTCTATACAGGCACTTTCATGGGCAGCTCATCTCTTCTAAATAAAGGTCCTTCAAGTCCGGCGCATGTTTTGTATCCTCTCCTCTCAAAGCTTCTGACAACTGCCCAAATCACCGATGTGTCACTGAAATGGTATTTTCTGAAGTTTTATTGAAGCTTATTTTTTTACTGATCTGTCACAACTCTACCCAGCGATAACGCCTATCACGTAAAAACAAAGGTGTACGCGGTGTTTGTAGGTGTTTGTTGTTGGTAGTTGCTAGCTTGTTGCTAACCTTCTTGGAAACAACATGAGACTGGCAACTTAAGCTAACGTTAATGAATTATATCCATACCTTTTCTGCTTTCAGCCAAGCATTTACGTTCATGCTCTTGCTTCAGAATAGTAACGTTAACTAATGAACATGCAGCTAACAAGAGCTAGCAAACAAGTCCAATAAAAGACCACGTTAATGTGTAAAATGCTTGAGTTAGAACTTAACCTTAGGGCTGCACTTATACGTTTAGCTAAAAAGTAAGTGCTGCTTGTGGATCAAATCAAATGTGATGGCTCTCACCATTATTAAAGTCAGTGAGGTACATATATGTGCGGAGGGTTAGTTACTCTTTAGTGTGACCGGTATAAGCTCATGAGATGTCTTGGATGTAGCTGTAACCATCATTTATTTTGGAAGAAAGTGAGTGTGGGAAAAGTCAGAGTAGATACAAAACAATTACTGGATTTGTTAACATTAGATGAAGTATTACAATTAAGCATATTAAAATATTTTAGCTATTTTCTCTTGAACTTCTGCACTCACTGTTAATGAAGAAGGCTGGCACACATATCCTACGATCTGTCTGTCATGTGTATTTAGTTATAAATATTTTCTACGATGATTAATATTAATTTATATGATCTATCATATTCAAAAAGCCAATTTAAAGGTGGATGTATCCAATCTATGAGTGCTTTTTGGTTGTAATATCGATCATAGAGCTCTTATGTCCAGCTTCCAGTGTCTCCCATGATAATGCACAAATGCTTCCTTAGAGTTGTAATAGTAATATTTTCTGTACAGCTTTCTGTACAGGAGTTTTTTTAAATTTGGTATGAGAGTTCTGGCTAAACTCCAGAAAGTAAACAGAGACTTTTTACTATGTACAAATAGTTAGCACTCTGTCAAACATTTCACCATCCATGACTTCGTCTTGATGCAGTCACTCATCACACCCCTGAAGATGAGTGGGGGGGGGGGGGAGATGTGCTGCTCGACAAAGTGTAACATCTCGTTTTCCGTGTGCTTTGTCTCCTGTTGCCTGAAGTCTTATTGAGATTATGGCACAATAAACTTTTACTTGTGTTCATATTTTAGCTGTATGGACAAAATCCCTGTTGGTCCGAAGCCCATCACAGCTGTATAATGTTTGGAGATGTATGATGATGATGATGATGATGATGATGATGACGACACTTGAGCTGTCGACTCTCTTGTGTCTCTTTATCCTATGGAGGAAATGGGTGATAATGCAAACAGATAAGGCTCCTGGTACCTGTTGACCACAGTCAGGACCTCCTAAAACTGGACCCTCTGACAGAGTGCTCCATCAGTGCCTGCCTCAATGACAACCACAAGGCATTGAGCTCTTATCTGCAATGGCCCCTGCTTAGCATTCACGCCATTCACGCGAACAATGCCACCTCTTCCCGCTCAGTGGATCTGTGACTGACAGTGGGTGTTGGTGCACTTGTGTCTGACTTCAACCTCAATGTGACGCTGGTCTGTTTATCCAGTCCAGATAACCCCACCAAGACACAATAAAGGGCGTGTGTCTTCCTCGCCACTTCCCATGTTGTTTGTCTAACTGGACTTTTATAATGGACCTCGCTCTCTATTTGGCACGTTGGTTTCCTCCTCAGAAGGATCTGTATTAGTTGGGGGAGGGTCAGGGCAGAAAGGCTGACTGATGATCATAGAGCCAGCTCACTGACCAGCTAGCGAAATGGAAGTGGCCCCTTGGCGAGAAGGTGAAAAGCAGGGAAACCGCAGATAAGACCGTTGCCTGTGATATAGAATGACTAATAGCTGAGGTATGATGTAGCAGCAATGGCCGGATTTGAGGTCTTTCAAAAGATTTTACAGAAAATAAATACTATTGGTGTGAAAGGTTATAAAGTTGGCTTTTCATTGGAAGGTCTATCTCGAATGCAGCTTTTGAGTTATGTGTAATCTACTTCAGTTTTCATCATGCAGCTCAGATCTCATATTTGATGAGGCTGATATCAGCAGGGGATCTCGGGATCCCATGCCTCCATAATGGCCCCTGTGAAGCTGGGGGCATTATAAAGCTTCTATAATAAACCCCTGTGATCAGTATAGCCCTCCCTCCCTGCTCTTATTTATGAATGGCAGAATTTGACAAGAGTGCAGCTTAGGTGGGTAGCTGCCGATCACATGATACCAGCACTAAAGAGCCAAGCGAGGAATGTGGACAGGACTCCCCCCTCACCTCTAGTCAAAAAAACCAACTTTGATGCCCCATATCATAACGAATACCCTCTCTGTCCCTTCCCTCCTCAAGCCCTCATATGTCCAGCAATGTCGAGGAGGGGAACGGGTGCTGCAGTCGGGACGGACGGACGGACGGGGGGGGGGGGGGGGGGGGCATAGATAGTGGCTGCGTTTGATCTGAAGGTCGCCAGCCCCTTGCTGCTGTTGAGAGATCCTTGGCATACGAAGCTGGCTCTTATTTAATAACATGAAGGGGAAGCGGACCTTTCTCTCATAATTAGGCCTAATTACCCAGTAGGTGTGGACAGACGGCCCAAGAAGAGACAAACTGCCTTTATCCATGGACTTAGAGTCAGATTACCCCGGAGCTGTCTTATCTGTTACAGGGCCAGCAGGAGCCTCAATCCTCCTCTCCTGCCTCTTCCCACTGGCTCCCATATCCAGCTCAGGTATATTAATCAAAAGACACACAGGTTTAATTAGGCCTAGCTAGTTACTGAGATTTTTCCTGTGGACATGTTTAATAAGACAGTTCATTGACCTATTGGGTATTTGTTATCTATTGCTCAATCACTATATGAAAGCTCCTTGGGTTCATTGAAGCATTTTGGAGACCTAAATAGAACAAGTTACTCGTCCTTGAGGATCTATGACCAGAGGATCGCATCGGCTCCAGCTACTTACTGCCGCTTCTCCAGCAAGTATCCTTACATTCACTAGCGGCGCCATTTAAGCTTGACAAGTGACTGGCTTGACTGTTTGCTCAACTGCCTCTCTCTGTTAGCGAGGAACAATTTAAGGGTCCTCGCAGATAGATTCGAGTGACATCCTGGCACCTTCTTGTTTGTTTACGGTATCTGTCTCCCCCTTCCTGAGCTGCCTGCATGTTTGTATTTGGGTTTGTGGGTGACTCACTTGCAGCCACCACAACAGACCCATTGTTGTGGGCAACTCAGATTCACTGGAAATGCTGACGCCTGGAAAACAGAAGGAACAATCCAACCGAGGAAGTAGTGGCAGGGGAAAGTGGCCATTTTACTCCTCTTTTAGATACTAGTTTGGTTATATAGTCCCCCAAGTAACATAGCCCCCAACTGTTGTCTGTCATTGACAGTGAGCTGTGATTGCTATTGGAAAGTCCTCCAGCCACTGGTCTTGGGACAATGAAACCAGACAGTTTCAGGCTGCTGTCTGTGACTCACAGCTTCATGCAGGCCTGCTGCAAGAGGACAAGGGACGCTTAATCCACCTGTTACCAGAGTGAGCCTCACCTTGTCACACTCTCACAGTCACAGGACTCTGGCTCAGGAATGCAGTGTTACCCATCCATTCACAGCTTAACTGAGAGACCCTCACAAAAACACTGGTGACGTTTTTTGCCATTTTTTTCATACCACACAATAACAAGTTTGGACAGTTGTCGGCTGAAGGGTTTCCTGCTGGTTTAGTTCAGAGATATGAGTGATACCTAATGGTCAACATCTTGTACAAACAGCCATGTGCTTTGAAATACTCCAAATATATAATCCAAATGTCTGTTTCTTGATCATTTTACATATTTGGATGGACGTTAGTGCGATCTTTTCCATAGTTAGCATGGAACAAAACGTTCCAATGCAAGCAAGCAGTGTGTCTTCCTATAATGGTAAACTGATGAGCTGATGGTAAGACTGTGTTCTTGTGAGTCCATCAAACTGCGGCGTTATGGCCTTAATTAGGCAGGCTGGTCCGGGGTCTCTGTCTCTCCGCTTCACAGATTCACATGGACAATTTAACCACTAACCTCCTGAAATGAGTTGCTCCTGAATGCCTCAGGCTCCAGTTTCAGCATCTACTGATTGCAGGGAGCAAGGGTTATGATAAGTAAAAGTGGAGGGGGTGACTGTGTGTGTGTGTATGGGTGTGCGCACGTGTGTGCATGTCTGGTGGCGGTGAGGTTGTGCTCACTAACTCAGAAGGCCTAAAACATGAAGTTACCCATATTGTGCTGTAATACTTTTTGGGGAATCTGCTTGTCTGTTCAATACGAAGCTTTAGTCAGCAGACAGTTAGCTTAGCATAAACACTGAAAACAGGGCTGTTTCTTGGCGTGGAGCAGAGACTTCCTGGAGTCTGCTAGTTGTTTTTTTGTACAGATTAATTAATATATATATATATATATTTTGTTAATTGGTGAGATTTACTGGTAGGTTGATTTTTTGACCCAGCCAGGTTAGCTGTTTCCTTGTGTTTCCAGGCTTTATGCTATTTTAATTTATGCTAAGCTAATCGTCTCCTGGCTCCAGCTTCCTGTTAAAGATTATCAATCTCCTCATCTTACTCAAGAAGGCAAATTACAGTATTTGATTAAATGTATTCCTGAAAGGTAAAGCCAGCTTCAACGTATTATTGTGCACGTCTTTACTTCTGAAACTTTTAGCAGTGCGAGTTGGCAAACATGCAATTGCAAGTAACCAGGTAGAGAAATTATTTGTGTGGCGAGGGAGCAATTTACTGTGAAGTCTCAGGCGTTGAAGCCAGTAAAACCTGCAAGACTGTTCATGTTAATTGGTAGGTTCATTGGTAGGTTCATTGGTAGGTTAATTGTTCATTTGTATTTAAGTGGGTGCTCGTTTTCAAAAGTCATTGTCGAGCCATTGTTTCCCGTAACACTGAGAAAGTGGGGCACGTCATCTTGTAATAAACATTGTCTAATTAAAATAAACTGACTATGCTGCCTGGCATAGACAGATTAAAGACACCTGTCATTCTCAACATGATAAGCAGAATTTAGAGTCACCCACATGTGAATGTACTGCAATTTAATGTTGACGCATCATTTCCTTGCAGCATACCTGCAGTCGGTTGGGTTTTCTCAGCAGCCCAGCCTACAAACGACATAAAAGCCTGAGCTGTTGCTTCTGCCTCTGGGACAATGGCCGTTGATCACAAGAGGAGTGAGAAGCATGAATCTCCGTCTGTTTACTGTAATTAAGCTGTCAGGGGTTGTGATTTATGACGTATTGAGTAAGAGAGGTGTTATCAGGTAGACTAGAAGGAGGAAGACGGAGATAGAGAGAGCCACAGGGTTTGTAGCTCCTAACAATAGAGCAAATGCAGACGGTGCATTAAACACAACTGTCTGCTCTGTGAGAGAGAGAACGGCTTCAAGGCAAAATGGAGCTAGTCTCTGACGATCTTTGCTCAGTAATTGTGCAAAAACAAAATGAGATTACTACTTTTCTGATGCATGTAGATTTTAGGCCTACTTTTAACTTTCATGGTAACCGGATTTCAAAGTAACATTTGGTCATTTCTGCTGAAAAGGCACAGAACCGTTGAACAGTGTCGTTGGAGACAAACTGTCGGGAACTCAAAGTGCATTTTTCACAGAAAACTCATCTCTCAGCTCAATTTTCTTGTTGTCTGTTTCGGTGGGTGTCCTGACACAGGTTCGCGGCCTCCTTGCAGCCATACATTGATTGCATGACCCAGGGATGTTTCGTCCTGCTCCGTCCCCCATCTACACCCTGAGGGGGGCTGGCGGGCCCCTCAACACCCTCCATTTTAGCTGCCACGGAGGGGACACTCCCCTCCTGTTTTCTGGGTGAGTCATTTATCTCAACATTATATATTCTGGCTCTTCACCTTCTTCAAACAGTGAAGATTGTTTGTTTATCTAAAGTATAGAAGTAGATACCAAGCCAGTTAATCACGATTCACTTAAAATATTAAAACAGGCAGAGATTTTGGAGGTTCAAGAGCAGCTATTAAAGCATCACGCACCAACATTTTAAATATCATAAAAAGAGCAAATATTGCCGATTTTGGTATTTTCTGTTGAGTTGTAGGTGAGAGCAGATCAATGATGAGCCATATTTTGTGTCATACAAACAACCTACTACACTGCATTCTGTTTGGCTTTCCAGGTCAGGGAAGGGTGCCATCCATATGTGGAACCTGAACACCAGGAGAGCTGAGAAGATTGTAGAAGGTCATTCCGGTAGCTCGGTGATCTGGGTCAGCACACTGCAGGAGACAGATACCCTCATCAGGTGAGGACAGTTCAGATGTCTTACTCATCCTTCCCTTACTGTTTCTGTCAGAGCATTTGGACATTTAAGATATTATTTATTCTTTAGATGATGTTGACTTCAGATTTGATGGTTTTCTTTTGAACTAAGCTTTGAAACACATTTGTTGAGATGAAACATGTTTTGAAACATGCAAAGAACTGCAGCTTTTGTCTGTTTTCCATTGGTGGAGCAGTCAGGGACGGGACATGCAGGTCTGTCTGTGGGATCTGAGCGAAGGTCGTAGTGAGGTGATGGACTCTGTGTGGACCGGCAGTGTTGGGTTCTGCCAGTGCTCCGTGCTGGAGACGAGCCCTGGGACGCGCCTGCTGGCCTTCGCTGGACAACAGACAGAAGAGGTCAGACATCAGGAATAGTAATAGTAATAATAATAGTAATAACTCTAAATTGTCTTTAGGTTTGGATGCTAGTGTGAATGTGTCTGTGTGTTTTATCCTGTTTACAAATTTATAACCAATCCATTTTTATACCCTCCTTCTCTCCCAGTGCATGCTGGGATGTGCTAAGGACACTAAGGACAGATGGTCTGAAATGGATACATTCTATATAATACTATTTATAAATGACTTTTTATGGTTTTAAGGTTTGTTTATCTCTAAATATTTAAGGAGGGATTTCCAATTTAGTTTGGGGAAAATAACCAGAGACCCCTCCAGATCAAAGTTTCCAATGGCACATGTTGTCCTATATTCAGCGGAAACATCCTTGAATTTAGGTGTGAGGTGGGATGGTTAATTGGTTACAGACTGATGAGAATCAAAAATGCCAACCTGTGTGAACCTGAGCAGACTTGCTCTTGCCAGTTTGCTGAGTTGACTTTAAGTGTTCACACATATTTGTGGCTTATAGTATTGTTTAGTAGGTTAGTGGAAAAAGGAAGTTCCAAAGCAATAGTTTGTCACATCAAAGCCCTGTCATCTTTTCCTATTACCACACTGTGATCATTTGCAAGTGTTCTAATCTATAAATATGAAATGGCTTTCATTCAATCAGGTGGCAGACGTAATACTTTTAGCCCATCTTCAATGAAAGTGTCGAGAGTCAACGCGACGTGAGCATGCAGTTTGCAGCCAGGACTTGCAGAAGGCAATCTAAACAGCACCATTCACAAACCGGCATTTATGTCATGAGTCAGCAGACACGTAGCAAGAATAGGAACTTAATACCAGCCACCAGCTTAATGTCAGTTAATTTTGGCTGTGGCGAGTAACATGCCATTCAGTGAATCTGTTTGTCTAAAACACCTCTCCAAAGTGGCTGTTTTTAATCTTTAACTGGTGGATTAAAAAGGGAATTCCCAAGCATGAAATGATTGTGCACTGGAATGAAATCTCAGTGGTATGTTGCGTAGTTAATGCTCAACACCCAGAAGCCTGAAGGGTTTTGTGTGGATTGAGGCAGGATGGGGAGAGGTCAGCCAGCGATTCAGCCATTTTTTATTGCCTCTAGATTCATGTTACTTGCTCTGCTGTGGAGGAGCCATACTTGAAAGGGACAGAGCAGTCACCTGATCCAGCCAAATGTGCCTCTGCTAACCCCAGTCCAGCAGGCCAGGCATCAGGGCGCCTGTGACTCCCAGCACCTCAATAATGCTATTGTCCCAACAGACACAGACAGACAGAAACACACACACTCATACAAGTTAGACTAAAACAGGCCGCAGCCTATTTTGCCATTTGGTCTCCCCACCCCATTCCACAGACATAACTGACCACGACAGATGCTTATCATGTACCCGCAAATAAAACACCCACATAAATGAATTCCCTCAAGAAACAATACATATGCACTTGCCAAAAAACATGCACAATGGTGTGATTTAGTGCCATGTGCAAAATGCAGATAGGTTCAATAAGAACTTCCTATTTCAGGTGGCTTTACTGTTTACTGCTCACAGCGAGATTCCTGGCGGCAGAAACATTAATTAGTAGTGTGGGTGTTTTATTTATGGGCACTGGGATGCCACACAAGAACAGTGAACACCTGAGGCACAGAGAAGTCCTTAAAGGCCCTCTTTGTCAGGCACGCAAAGGTAAACACGCAGGACAGATGTGGCCTAGCGCTAAAATACAGATGGCTCCCTTAAAGGGCTGTTTAATCTGAGGCCTAATGAGGATGAATATGCGGATCATCAGCGCGGAGGAAGTCGCAGGAATGAGTTTTGGTAGTGATGTGTGGTACACACATACAAAGGCACACACTTTATCACTGGCTTCATTAGGCTGTGTATTTTATCAGAATCAGTGCCAATGTGTGCAGGAAAACACCATCCGTGTCACGAGGTCGGGCTTTAGCAGGATTTATTATAGACAGTGGGGCGGCCGCTCTGCTCTAATGGATGGTACTGTACTGCTGGTTGGAGGCACTCTGATCTGCGGAAGTCCTGAAGCACAATGACAGATGCAGATTGCTGCTTTATTTGAATTCAGAAGACAAACAAATCATGACTTGGCAGACAGCTTGTAGATATCTATATATATATATATATATATATATATATATACACACATACAACGGCAATTTGTGTGTGTAACTGTAACAGGGTCTCAATAATAGAAACATTAGAACTAAAATAATGAAAACAAATAAATGAAAACAAAAACACATTTAGATGTATTGGATAAACTCCAATAACTGATCACAGTTTGTTTTAGCCTTAAAACAAGTTACCCAAATTAAAGCTGTGCCAAACAGAATAGCATGTTATTGGACGACAGAGGTCTGGTAAGCTCACTTTTTTCTAACGCCACACCGCCAATTTTCTTTTGGTTTTTCAAACTTGTAGTCTTCTGCACTATTCTCAAGTGTTGCCTCAAGTGACGTCATTTGAAGCAATTTATCAGACTTCACACAGCTCTCTCTGGAGTCACAAAAAGCTTTAAAGGTTCTCTGTACAACATTCAGAACGAATATTAATGTAGCCACTTCCCCTCCAGGTTAACACTGTTAGCTCTGTTAGCTCTGTTAGCTCTGTTGCCATTGTTTGCACTGTTAGCGATTGTAGCACCGTTAGCTGGCTCAGCTCAGCTGTCACCATGTTAAGAGCCATATGGAAATTTTTTCTTTGATGTGTAAAATTGATGGGGCTCTTCTCTAATGTTAGCATGCTAACATGCTAAACTAAGATAACAACATTGGTAAACATTATACCTGCTAATCATCAGCATGTTAGCATTGTCATTGTTAGCATTGTCATTGTTAGCATGCATTTAGCTCAAAGCACTGCTGTGTCTAAGTATTGTACAGCCTTACAGAGCTAGCATGAATGTAGAATGGGGATGTGAACAGGTCAGCTATCTCTAGTGCATCTTAAGTTGTAATCATCTTGTGTTTCCTTCAGATCAAGATCATTGAACTACCCAGCAAGACCCCAGTCTGCACCCTGGTACCAGACGCTAAGCTGGGGATGGTCATGTGTATCAAATTGTGGCAGGTAAGCACAAAGTCAAATATATTTTCATCAAAAGTTCTTGCAGTGTTTTTAACTTAACGCCAAAAAAGTAGCACTGTCCCGCTACTACTACATCTCAAGTTCAACTAGTTCAGCTTGGTAGCCATTATCTTACATTTAAAACAAGGAGGAAAGGAAAGGTACCTTTTCTCTACATACCTGCTTTTCTTTCTGGTTGGCCATCAGCCCATGACGAGACACAATAACAAGTCAAAAAAAGTCAACAAAAAGGCACATGAGAGACATGGCCCATAATTTACAGCCCAACAACTGTCCTGGGCCATTTTTCCCAAGCGTTTCTTCTCAGCTGGCACTGAGTCCCAACACTGTAATTAGAGCGTTTGGAAGGGCTGTGGGGTTCACAGCCATATATCAGCCTGCAGCTGCACATCCAATCTGATCCGAGCAAAAAAAAAAAAAAAGGTTGCTTTCTGTTTTGTAAATCCTGTCGAAAAAGTTTCATTTTCCAGCCATTAAGGAGACCCTGTAATTATTTTCATGGCTAATTATTAACTCTTTGGGTTTGGGGCTTTGGGGGACGGGGTGGGTTTTTAGATTTATGCAAGATGTTTTGAGTACATTTTATGGGCTGTACAGTTTACAGGCAACAGAAATCAAAACACGGCTTATCATTTTGAAGCCAGGGTGAGTCGAGTTGCTGGCCGGTGCACATTCAGTATTCCTGTAATACAAATCAGATATAATGTATTTTAGTATGTTATCTACAAAAGCCATGAAGCTGACATTGTGTTTGGGAAATTATTATAGAGACAAGTAGACAAGTTAGAGTCTCACAATGCATGCTGACATTGTGTTTTTCTTTTCCCCTTTGATTCCACTGTTACACCCACCTTTCATCATCTGATTTATGAACTAATGCTGGTTCAGCGTTGAGTGCCAGGAAACGTAATGATCAATTATATCATTATAAATTATATAATATCATTGTAATACAGCGCAGGCAGCTGTCTGACTTCAAAGCCGAAGGGCTTAGGTGATTCTAAATCATCCCAGTCTGATTCCTTTCAAGGCTGAGGCATGTTCATCAGTTACACTGACTGAGCGACTCAAGGGGTCCAAGCAGTGGGAAGTGACTGAAAACCCAGTCTGTGTGTGTGCGTTTGTGAGTGCGTGTAAAACTGCTTTCTCACACACACACACACACACACAGTCTTGAAACTCGACCCACACATTTTGTCTGCCAGTCATAAGAAAAATGCTCACTTGTCTTTCACATCAAATGCTCATACGCTACCCGCTGTTTCCTGAACCTCACACAGCAGGAGGCAACAGCTGAAACCGTCATCCTCTCTCTCCACCCTGTCTCTCTCCATCACACACACTCCAGGATGAAGCCACTGGCAATTATCTCCTCTCTCTATCTTTCCTCTCAACATCTCTCCCTCTTTTCTTCCCACCATTGAGGTGAGAAGTGATTATCTTCCATTATTTCCAAGACGAACTCACCAACAGATTTATTGTCGGCCTTTAAGCCCTCTCTCTCTGCTGGAGTTTATGGAAAAAGATTAAATGCAGTGTTAAACTGCATTTTCTCCTCAGATCACCTTCCCTTTTGCAAAATCCCACCCAGCCCTTAGTTCATGTGCTGTCTAAAAGGTGACAGAGCTTACTATCTATTTTCTCTGAATCTGATTGGCTGGGAAGTGCTGAAGCACTTACGTGGAGGTAGAAAGTACCTCCACATGTGGGACTGCCGTGTGCGGGGCTCTGGCCAGGGGGACAGTATTGATGTATGATGTGCAAGGCTTTTAATGTGAACAGAGGCTGGCGGGGAAAAGGAAATGTTCCTATACAGATATCCATCACTCTCAGCTCATCACCTTGCTGCCTAGTTGCTATGACATCATGGTGGACCGGGTCTGAAACCAGAGGAAACGATTGGTTATGTTGAAGCAGTGCCGGCCTCAGGCCTGTGGCGGCCACATCAACAGGCTGTTGTCCTCTGGGTTGTTCAAGACTTTCATAATAAGGAAATTACATACAAGTGTTTGTGGAATATACAATACATTCAGGATATCGCCTACATACTTCTCTCTAATTGCGTTTAGATTTTATTTATTTATGTTTTTTGTTATTGTATTAGTTTATTTGGCAGGAACAGCGCTCATTGATTTACAGGGAAAAAACTGTGAATGAGACAGAATTAGTCTAAAAGCCTAATAATCACCTGTTTTTCCTGGCCAGATGTTAAACATCCATCCTAGAAATGGAATATAAAATTAAATGACACATCCTTTAAAATTAAATATATACAATATGATACATATTCACATAATAGAACAACACATATCCACTAATATATAATGCAACACATGGCAGTTAGAAAGCTAGCCTTGAGACGAGGATTTGAGCAGGATGTATTCGTGGATGCCTGTTAATGTTTTTCTTATTTGTTCCAATAATACATAACTATCTCTGTATGAAAATTAATCCAGTATTAGAGTACTTACATAAAAAACAAAAAAAGTTGATGTGCAAAACATTTGTGACAGGAGGATCAAACCAAAACACAAATTTTTTGTCAATTTTCAGTCGTCATGTAATCTAAAATATAGTAGCACCTTGTGAGCATCGGTGTGTAAGAAGATATTGTCGTTGTGTGTATATTAACAAGGCAATTTGTTAATATTTGTTTTGTTTTTGCTGCTTTGACTGTCAAAGCACTTTGTGAACTTTTAAAAGGTGCTATATAAATAAAGTTATTATTATTATTATTATTAAGTCAACCCCTTTTTTAGAAGCTGCAGCTTCCTTTCCTTTGTCTGCAGCCATCGTCATTATCTATACTCGAGAAAGTTCCCATTGAAAACAGTGATCTAATCTGCTCACAAGCCTCATACTATTTTGCCCTTGTGAAATATTTCAAAATGATCACTTTTTAAGAATAAGTTTCTCAAAATTAGGATTTAATTTCAGTTTAATAACTGGTACAAAGTCTATTTCTCTTGTCCAATAATGCTGTGACAAATGCTTTCTCTCTTTACTTTTGATGTCAGGTCATGCACAACCTAATAATCATGTTGCAGTAAAATCTAGTTCATCTCAAAGGATTCAAATGATGACGAGTGTGGAGGCAAATTGGGCATTTTGTGAGTCTATTGATTGACTCAGAATGAAAGTGGGATTGAAATTTGTATAAATTAAGAAAAAGAGCTATAATTATTAGTCATTTTCCAATTACTTGTTGACGAAAAGTCAACTGGTAACTGTTTTGATAATCCATTAATTCTTGAAGTCGTTTTCCAAAGATAGAATGCTGAATGTCACCTTGTTCCATCTTCTCAATTGAAAAGATATTTTTGTTTTATGTGACTGTAAATCTTTAAGTTTTGGACTGTTCGTCAGACAAAACAAGCAACTTAAAGGTGAGACTTTAATTGCGATGGTCATTTTTCACTTTTATCTTTTTATAGACCAAAAACAGTAATTGTTACCAGTTAACCGATAATGAAAATAATCCTTTGTTTCAGCCTCAATAGAAAACGTGTGGAGTTAATTTGTCTTGAGCTGGAACCTCAAGATTTAGATCTAATAGTTCAGCAATCATAGTTCTTTGTTGTTCTTATTTGTTAGAGCTTGTTTCAGTGCCTCCATAGGTTGCATGGGTATTTTGTGTTGCCTCAGCAGCAAGGGGATGTTAAACCTCTCCACCAAATGAGATTGTTGTAGAAGAAGACAGAAGGAAGGAAATTAACAACAACTTGATGTTCAAAAGCTCCTGTTATCGTGACTCTTCTTGAGGACATGTTGATGATCTAAATGGACCAAAGGGGTCGGAAACAACTGCTTGAGTGACCACCAGACTAGACAAACATTAATACATTAATACAATATATCATTTTCATGAATATGGAAAATGACTATTAACAAGTTGAAGCCCAACTAGTTGCCGTTCTAGAAACGACCCAGCGTCATTTCTCTTCTGCCTCTTCAGCCGGCTTCCATCCATCTGTCTTTCTAGCTGTTCTATGGTGATGAATCTCCTCCCAGAGCCCCAGCCCCACTCCAGCAGAGAGCCCTCTTGTAGAAAGGCCTTTGGAGGATATAATGAATTAGGTGTCTACCCAGGGTTCCCCGACCTCCGACCCATGACATCATCAATCAAGGCGGTCCTACGCTTAAGTGAAACGGTGGGCCCCAAGCCTGGAACGCTTAGCCCGGGCCCTGCCGGCAAGCAGCGGCCACTGATTTTCACTTGTTTTTATTTGTTTTCATAATCCCTTCGTGTTCGTCCTCGCTGATGTGTTTGGAAGGAATACACGACTCTGTCTATAATTTGTTTAAAGCTGGAAGAAGAGAAATATAGAGCGTTAAGTGAGAAGAGGACTTGAAGATGGATGAAGAAATGGCAGACATGACCCCCCTCGCACATATGGAAAACATTTCTTTCCCTCCTCACTTCTGCAGGGCACAGTGCTTTTGCTGGGGGCCCTGATGGTATTTTAAAGCAAAGGCACGAGTCAGGACAAAGTATATATCTGCCCTGTGCATTCATAAGTCTTCTGAAATGTATTCCGTCGCTCTACAGGCCACGGTCTTAAGCTGGGAAAAGTTGAATTGTTGTTTGGATAACACTCCAGCCATACATGGATGCTTGGTACTTCCACTACCGTCTCCATATACTGTATGTGCACAGGAGAATTTTGTGAATTCGGTAAAACGGGACAGAGGTTTGAGCTCACCAGCTGTCCCTCCTGCCGTCTATTTATCCATTCCTCCTTCTCTTCTTTCTCCTTCGGTCCTTCCTTTCTTCCCTGCAGCAATGCAAAGATATATGAAGCCCCCAGTTTGTATGAGTTAACCTTTATGTTCTCCTTCACAGAGGTGATTTACAATCTGATTTACAATACTCTTTACTCTTCTCTTTATGTATACATACAACTGTCTGTATACATTTTGTTTTCGGGGAAGGTTGCTCTCTTTATATTTAACAGAGGTAATCGGGTTTAGGTTTTTACGTTTGTGCACCTGGTTTTATTTCATGTGATTTGAAAGATTTACTCTGATGATTTCACCAGTTGTAAACATTGCGGCTGGATCTGAAATGTCCTGGGGTGAAATGGGGATGAAGCCAAGACTGTTGTGTGTTTTTTATACATGTGTTTGTTTTAGTATGTGAGCAAGCATAATGTCTTTCGAGTTGAAACTAGTTAGTTATTTAGTTGATTAATCAATCAGTCGATCAGCAGAAAATGAATTCATATGAACAGATCGTTGTTGTAGTATCAAGCTAAACATTCTCTGGTTCCAGCTTCTTCAGTGCTTCTTTGTTTTCTTTGATTGTAAATAGATGTTTTTTGGGACGCAAGAAGCAATCTGCGAAATTTTGATAATTGAAAAAACGATTTCTTTAATAATCAATAATTAAAATAGTCGTTAGTTGCAGCTCTAATGCTGTACCTTAGTAAGTATTTCATTTTCTTCATTTTTACATATTAAAATAAACAATCAAAAATAATCTCTGTTCAAATTTGATGTATATAAATCATTATAATGGTATGTATAAAGAAAGTATAAAGTATACTAAGTCCAAAATACAGATGAAAAGAATAGGTACAGATAAAATATACCAAAAAAAAAAACAAATGCACATTATATATATATATGTAATGTGTGTGTATATAAAATAAAATGTATCAGCCATATTTTATTATAGTGATTTTATAATAAATATCAAATTAAAACACCACACTAATGGCTAATACATTTGGCTTTTAAATGATTTAAATAAGTCAAGTTTTGAGAAGGTTTTGCAGTCTGTTACTGCTGTATATGTATCAGTGCTGGCAGAGAGTCCTTCGGCTCACAAATATAGATGAGGAGCAAAGTGAGGAGTGGTGTAATGGAGTGTTGGAAAGAGAGAGCAGCAGCCTGACGAATGGAGCCCACAGCATCTTTCCGAGTGTCAACAGGAGCTTCCAAAATGATAACCTCTGCTCCGCTCAGCTTCCAGCACTACACAGCGGTTTCTGTGGGTTTCTTTACTCCAGAGATCTCATCTGACATCTTACCTCACATTACTCTTAGTGTTCTCACATCCCATCTCACCGTCTCTCCTCTTTCTTTATCATCCTCCCTCACTTCCAGCCAGACTCGGGTCAGGGACCACTCCTGGTGGCTGGATACGAGGACGGTTCCCTGTTGCTGTGGGACGTAACCCAGAGGTCCATGCTGAGCCAAGCCAAAGCCCATCCTGAGCCCATCATGTGCCTGACCTTTGACATCAAGTGTCTGAGGGGCGTATCTGGCTCCTCTGAGGACAAACTCTCCTCCTGGATGCTGGACAAACAGAACAACCTGCAGGTCAGCAGAGGACAGGCTAAGAGAGAACAGTAGTGTTTTCTAGGCTAATGTTTCCCAAACTTATGTCTGATGAACCCCCACAGCCCTGTCATATGAACTACTCTACCTCTTCATCCACACCACCCCTCAGGAGTTTAGACTGGTATTAAACACTATAAACTATGACAGTTGTCAATACACAGTAAGGTTGGATGAGCATTCCTATGGAGGCCCATTATTATTATTATTATAGATAACTATTTTAATCAACTATTTTAACCATCCATCAATGAGTTTTAGCTCATAATTAAAACTGTTTATCCATAACTTTTAGGTAACTATTTCAACCATTTATAAAATCCATTTACCTAACCAGTTTATCCATTACATTAAGCTAACTACTTTTCTTGCTTACTTACTTTTTTTAAATTGTATCAGAATACTTTCTTTCAAATTAGTTGTAGTTAGTTAAAAAAAGAAAGAAAAAGATTTTAAATTTTTACAATGTTTGGTTATGCCTTGACAACTGCAGAATTACCTTCTGGGGTTCAAGTGTCAGTGTCCTGGTTGGGTAATCATTAAAGTGTCCATTTGGCCTCCTGAAGTGTCCCTGGTTCAGGTCCTGAAATGCTACCTGCTAACTAATTGTTGCACAAGAGCATCTGCTAAATACCATGAAATATAATAGAAAGGCAATGATGGAGATGGGACGAGAGAAGAGTTGCCTTTCTCTAGGCTCTCTTGGAAAACATCAGCGGCCAAAGAAGAAGAGGCTCAGTAGGGCTCCGGGGGTCATAAATCAGCTGCTGGTTACACAGCGTTGGCAGGGCCAGGGGCCAAGGGCCGGGCTAGGGCCGTCACTCCAAACTCAAACCACCCACAAACATACACACTGACACAATCACACATCAGGCGTGGATATAAATACTTCTGGATGACAAACGTATTGCAAAAGAAATTCTCACACACACATTCGGTAAACTGTACAGTAGAGCCCATGCCAGAGCATCTTCTGCCACACCAAAAGAGACACATCAGCTTTGTACCCTAATTCATTTTTACATAACAGCCAGCGCTTCAGAGACTTGAACGCCTCATTTGAAGCTGTGTTTTCTCTTGATTTCATGATCAAATGGGAATGCTCACATTTTGCAACCAGCCCCCATGAATCAGAGCAGAGGGGGAACCTGAGGCATACATCGTACACTCCTGCACAGTGAAGGGGTATTATTCTTTCCAAGGCTTTTTACAAATGAATGCTTGAATTAGAAATATTTGCATAGCCCCATTTTTTTTTTTCACCGTAAATATGCGTCTCGAAAAACACTACAAAGGATTTGATTCAATATACCAAAACAGGAGGAGAGTAGTTATTTGGTTTATTTTGCCGAAGCAACAAAATATTGATTCAGCATGTAATCCAGGATGAGGATAACAGGAAAAAAGCACAAGAAGAGGGAAAAGATCCAACAGGGGCTTTTAAATTATCCTGAAGTGCAGCTCAGTGTGACGTCCAGACAGCTATCCTCAGTTCTTCCCACAAAAGTTTTTTTGTGTGGCAGCAGTATGGAGACGGCAGGACCTGCCGGGTGGCGGACCCGGGCCCTGGGTCCTGACGGACGACCCGTGAGAGGTAATAAAAATATCAAAACCTCGGAGGCCCCTTAACCAAACAAAAAACACATCTGCAGTAAAGGGAACAGTAGTTCACAGTGGGAGGCTGCAATAAAGGCTGAGGAGGCTATAAGTACCACAGCATCCCACTTCCCACAAATTGCCTCTGCGATACCGTTGAATGTAGTGGAACTGGCTGGCAAGGAAGATAGATGCTTTTCTTGTGAAAAGGAGGAGCAGCTGAATGTGACACAACACAGTGCCGTTATGATTTAGTGAAGCTGAGGGGCTGTGAAGTGAGCTTATCAAGCCCAGATAAAGACAGACAGCCTTAGGAATGGAGGTTAATGTATTACACATGGCTCCCAGAGGCCTTTATCTCCCGTTTGACCTGGCCAGCCTTGTATCGGTTCATCGTAATAAGGCATCATCTTCAGCCTTTATTTTTTCTCCTTTTCCTTCTAGCGCACATTTTTGGGAATGTGTCAGGCTGAGATTATGAGGGCGTGGGTGTTAGGGTTTACAAGCTGTTAAGCCAGGTGGACATATATTTAGACGGTCACTCAAATGTATTGACAAGTGCAGTGGCGTGTTCCTCCAGGAGAAAGAGAACGACAGAGGTTGCGGACTAGAGGAAGAGAAAGCAGGTATAGACAAAAGGAAGGTTAGAGGTGTAAATCAAGCATGGTGACAGCGAGCTGTTTCTGAGACTGATGACAGTTCTCTACAGGTGGGACTCCTGCCCCTCGTCTTCACCACAATGTAAAATATCCCCCCAGCAGTCAGCCAATCCTGATATGACCTTACTTTCAGGTCCAACCTCAGTCTGATGTAGAACTGATGTATGTATCCGCTACTGTCGTGAAGATTCTCTTCAGCAACCCCCCCCCTGCTCCTCTTCTCTTTTTTCTGAATGGGACTGCTAGCCTGTTTGACACATCCATCTCCTGTGAGCCAACGCCAAGCTCTGACAGGCAAGGTGACAAAAGGCTGTAATCTCCCCGCTGCGGAGTGTGATTCAGGGACAGGGTGTGTCAGAAAATACCTGCGAAAAGCCTCCCAGCCGCTAGGCTCGAGTGAGTGAGCGATGATGGGACGTTTCAGTAGATGAGCGTGAACGCCAAGATTCGTGCCGAGACGGAGGAGGAAAGACGGGGAGAGAAAAGTGGAGCAAGGCTTGAGTGAGATCTGCCAAGTGAACGCTCCTTTTGAACGTCTACTCTGTCGGTGAGATGCTACAAAAAGAGAATGCCGAAGTGTGAGTTTGTGTTGGATCTGTCGTAGGCCACAAAGAGTCTAGTGGGCCCAGCTGCTGAGCAGAGCTGGTAGCCTCCTGACAGCTGAGGAAGCTGGCGTTAAGACAGCAAGCCTGCTGTGTGTGTGTGTGTGTGTGTGTTGGTGAGCTTGCATGCTGTAACACAGGCCAGGAAGGAGTGTTCAAACAAAATGATGAAGCCCAAAGATGGATTGTGTCTATGATGAGATAGTAAGTCAAGAAGGAAGGGGAAGAAAAATGGGGTGTCAAATAAAATAAGCCTGCAATCCCTGCTTAGAGCCGATGGATTTCATTACAGATGATTATTGATGATGATTACAGACCTGGTTATTGGCAGCACTTAAGTCAGCAGCGTTTTTCTTGGTATTCATTCAGCAACAAGAACAATACCGCTGCTGGAGAACATGGAACTGAAATGACAGCACAATTTAGACTTTCTTTTAAAGAACAAAGACAAGTTATCCCAACATTAAAGTATGACATATTCATGGTCCGCAAGTAGTTGTCATTTCCATTATCCATTAATCTCAATTCGTCGATGAGTCATTTAGTCTATAAAATCATCGTGTGTTACTCGAGCCTAAGGGGATGTTTGCTTGTTTTGTCCCACCAATAGTAGAAAATAGGAAAAACGCTTCTTTGTTTCCTTGCCAAGTGTTACGTATGTTAGTTTGTTGTTGTCTCTGCCGCGCTCACGTCTCATTTCCCCCTTAAAGGGATCAACATAGTATAATAAATTTTAAAAAAAATTAAATAAATTGATGAATATGAACAGTGAGCTTCGCTTAACACAAAGACTGGAAACAGGGATCAGGTAGCCTGGCTGTGTCCAAAATGTCAAACTATTACTTTAGAAAATAACTCAAATTCTTAATCAGTTTTTAAAATAATTTTCTGTCAATCAACCAATTGACTGTTTCATTGTTCCGACTCTAGCGTCATTCTATATCTAACAAAACATGTTTCTTGTGCTGCAGTGTTAATCAGAACATTGTGTGACCAGAACTAATATTACTCTCAGGCAGCGACTGAAATAGATTTAAATTTTTTATTAATGTGTTGATATTGTTTTGTAATTGATTGCTAAAAAAAAATGCATATTGCAATTTTTTCAAATGTATTTTTTGTCCAACTAACAATCCAACATATATTCTATTTACAATCATTTATAACCATACAAAGCAGCAGAACCAGCACATTTGTAACTTTTATCAAATAAATAACTTGAAACGAATAAATAAATTCCAAAAATTGTTGGTAAATATTTTTCTGTTGATCAACTAATTAATCATATGAAATATGTGTAAGTGCGGATCACTTGCAGCTTAAGAACCAACATAGCTGCCATTCATTTGAAATTTTAGCTCAGGTTAACTTTTTTCCTCAACATTTTCATTTTGACTTTCTCAGACTGCAGAAAGTAAAAACAATTAGCCAGCCAGCCCCGCTGAATGACCATAACTACATCATTAGCCATTTACAGCTTACAATTGACCCTTTAATGAAACAGATGCCTTTTCCTGACACAAACTATGGGAAGCAAAACAAACAAAAACAGACACTTAAACCCATCATTATCAGGCCTCTAATGCAGACCAGATGGAGAGAGGTAGGGGCATACCAACTTCTTGAGGTAATAACAAAGTTCCAAACAATCTTTTACCCTCCGGGTTTCTTTGTATCGGTGTATCTGGCTTGTTTGGTCTAACCAGGCACACTCACTTTCGCACTAGTGGTACCAGTGATGATGGTTTGCTAAACAAAAAACAAAAAAAAAATCCCATCACTGCCTGTTCTGAACTTTCTCGCTCTGTTTTGATCAATGACATTCCTCCTTGCTCTCTCTCTCTCTCTCCCTTGCATTCCACTTTATCCTTTTGGGCTGTGAGTACCTGGTTTATATCTTCCACATGCAGCTTGTGGATGGTTCCTGCCCGGAACAGGAGCATGCAGATAAATTCTCCACCATCCAAGGCCATTAGTCTCCCTAGACACAGCTTATGAAGTCAATTATACGCTGTCCGGTTTGATTTCAGCTCCTATATCCAGATGTTTGTGTCCCATCTACAGGTCCAGCAGAGATCCCCAGTCTGCAGGAAGAGCACGTTCGCTCCCCAAGAATGCCTACCTCAGCAGGCCCTTTAGATAGTGATCTTTGCCGTCATTCATTATAATATGTCAGAATGTTGCCCCTTTAGAGAGATTGATACAGTCCTAAGACACTGTAAATCACAGGGAGAGGGAGCTGTGGCTAATCTTTAGCAGGCAGACGTTACAACGGTGTATTTATCGGGTCTCTGCTCCCGCTGACCAGACCTTTCAGTGTGAATGTAATTCATCAGAGGCGCTTAAAGCAACACGGCATCTGCAAACAAGCATTTCAGCGAGAAGGGTCTCTCTCTCTCTCTCTTTCTTGCAAACTGTGACAAAGGTAACTCAAGCCCCGCTTCCAGAATAGGCCCCCCCTAACTCCAAACCAAATAGCGGGACGCAGAGAGATCTACTCGCGGCCCTCGTGCCGTAATGTTTTATGGCCGATGATTGAGTCCCAGGAGTCTCCAGCCAGGTTCAACAAGACATCCAGCCTCACACTTGGACCTCAGTCATCAGATCAGCTGATAGACTCTCCCTGTCGGTGTTTGTGTTGGCCTCGGTTTCCTAGACGGCAGTGATTAATCGACTTACTGACCTAATTATTATTTTTGTGTCCTTATTTGCATGAACAATATGTTCATATGGTTTTCAGTTTCACTAACAATTATCACAAAGAAACTGCTACTCGGCATCCTCGGTGTTGACAAAGTGTTTGTAATGCGTGTTTCATACATGGTTCTAACCTGCAAAGACCTGCTAAGATCCTTTTCCTCTTTGTGGTTTTATAGCTCCAGGACTATGTGACTCTGGTCAACCCTGGGGTTTCCCAACTGTGTGTCAGGGGGGACGGTAAACTTCTGGCTTCAGCGGGCTGGGACCATCGGGTGCGGATATTCGGGTGGAAGAAGCTGCGGCCACTGGCGGTGCTTCAATACCACACTGACATGGTGCTAAGCGTGGCCTTCTCTGACCACCAGGACCCCAGACAAAGACTGCTGGCTGCTGGATCCAAGGACCATCGGATCAGCCTGTGGTCAATATACAACGAGGGAGCGGACACTGGCTGAGCACATGAGCTCTGGAAGGACATGTGGACTTTTAATCAATACTTTCTACTGATGTTGATGTGACCCCAAATGGTGTTAGTAGCCAATAATTCAGTAATAGTCCAGTTCAATGGTTTGATAACTGGACAAATGGACTGTTAATATATTTAGCTACTCGCCTCTCGATATTGCCAAGACGTGTGGAAGCAATGCCTATAAATAACAGTGGCTAATGTATTGTTTTGTCATGAATCATGTCCTTACATGGGGCTGGCTTTCACCTTCTGATCACCTCTCTCACCTGAGCTCTTAAGAGCAAGAAAGAAACAGTTAAACAAACTTCACTTATGAACTCTATCAACTCTGTAGGGACACCTCCACTGCCCCGGCAGAGTTGATTACATTTCTCTGGTGAATAATACAGTAATGATGAAAAAGAAACTAACTCGTAATTATAGAGGGTGCAGGTTACTGACATGTCCACCATTTGTCCACATCGATATGATTTGAAACTTATCACGCACAACGAGCACAGTCAGTTTATTAACCAGCTAATGTGACTTTATAAGGTTAACACTGCATCCTGCTACAGGATTCATGAAAATAGACACTGGTCAAACGCACAGTGTTTAAAAACTGATTTTATTTCGTCCTCGTATGAACTAAAATGACATTAGTCATTTCATGAGTAGCTTACGTTTACAGGCTCATCGTACTATTCTTTCCTCGATAAATCCAAATGCCATTTATCAAACAATGTGTACAGTTAACATCATAAATATTGAGGTCAATATGTGTAACATAAGAACTGCACAACTTTGTGAACTCCTGGTTTGGTCGATTTTTTTATTTTACACAGCGTGTGTCTTGAATAGGATTTCCTTTAATTGTGAAACCAGTTAAAATATTCGACAAATTTCAAATTGTTGAATTTGCTGACTTGTTCGGTTTGCTGCAGCCTTTTGTGGCGCTCTGTGCAGCTCTGTTATTGTGTTGACTTATCTGATAGGAGATTTGCTCCGGTGGACCTGAGTTTGAGGCATACAACGCACCTGAGCAGCTATGTAATCTTGTGTTGTTATTCTAGCAGGTCTTAGCTTAACACACAGGCCTCTCCAGCCTGACCTGAGCTGTTTGTCAAACAAGGTTAATCACAGCAGGGGCATGAAGAACAGAGGTCTGTTGGTTTAGTGGTGGTGCTGATCAGCAGATGCTCTCCTTCATCAGCATGAGCTGGTTTTCTTTTCCTCAATTTCCTCTTTGTTAATCATAAAGATTACTGAAGAAATCATCAGTGTAGACATCAAGCTGAGGAATTTCAAATAAGTAAAAAAAGACGTGTTTCAACGTCCTCTGTAAGAGGAATCTGCAGAATTTCCATTTTAGAACAAGACAATTGTTAACATTTACTTTACATCTAATACTGATGTCTCTGTAAGACACAGACGTTTGTCATGAACACGGCCAAGTTTCTTGTCGTGAAAGTCCCAGAGAAAATCGGGAGGTGTTGTTTTTCTGTGCACTGCCTCTAATAATACCTCTGTGAGTCAATGAGCAGCATGGGAGCGCCTGTGTTGCAACACTGTACCGGGAGGCCCGGGGCTTCAAACGCTCCACGTTCTGCCTCATGAAGGCTTTGTCTCCTGGGATGACCCCAAGTTGGGAAGCTCATCATGCTGTACAGGAAAGGCCTGAGAAATCAAAGAGCCAGACGAGCAAAATGGCCACAAATCATGAGTGAACAGAGGAAAGAGAAGGTCATTTGCTCGACAAGCTGCCTCGCGGTGACATTACTGTCATTGAAAAAAAAGTTTTGGTTGATTTTCTTGCTTGTATTCGAACCTGTGAGTTGTGTTTTTAACTGAAACTTGTTTAAAACCATTGTTATATATTTTTTAAATAAATAGCTGTGGCTTGCTTCTGTTTCCAAGTGCCTGGTTTTAATGGCATGTTTTCCTTGTTCCCTGCAGAGCTCCAGCTATACCTTTTGTGTCTGACCTCCACTAATGACATCTTGCATTCATAACAGCTTCCTAACTCTCCTGTTGGCTTTGAACAAACACGAGAGGTGGCGTGGGCCAGCTTCCGTCCATTCTCTGATAAATCAAATGCTGTGTTCATTGGTGCAGATGTCCGCTGAATGGAGCAATCAGCAACCCACCGGCCTTAGAAGTGCCCGGTGAGGTGGTGGTGGGACCTCGTAAATCACTTCATAATGGATCATTTAGGAAGTCAATAAATGGACAGGGAGACCGTCTGCACAATAGGCCCCGTGCTTCACTTATCACCTAACGTGTGTCTCCCTTGGCCTTCAAGGTCAGAGGTCAGCCTGGTTTTGGGATAGGACATACTCCTTCGGGGTGTGTGTGTGTGTGTGTGTGTGTGTGTGTGTGTGTGTGTCTGTGTGTGTGTGTCTGTGTGTGTTTGTGTTTGTGTGTGGGGTTGATGCTGTCACTCCCCGAGCCTTTGGGTGTATTCGTTGATGCGTAAGTCGTAACACCGAGTCTGATTATTTAGAAAACATAAATGGTTATAAAGAGAATGATCTGAGGAAAATTCTGTATTAGCCAAAACCAATGTTCCGCCTCACGGTTGAGTGGGTTTTATTTATTTTTTCAAATGTGACTTAATACAAACGTATCAAGGCTCTTGCCCAGTGGTGGCGATGTGTTTTGATGTTCTGCATAAAATGTCCGTCAGCAACCTCATGCGCACCATAAACTGTTGTACCTTTTTGTATTAGGCCAAATATGAAACACGTGTTCTGTTGTTCAGGACCTGGCTCTGATTGCTTTACCTGGCTTCCCCAGATATGTCAGGCTGGGAGGCGAGACTCGGCAGCAGAAATGTACACAGAGGTGAAGCGAAGGAACCGAGAGCCCGATAGGCCTGTCACAGCAGATGTTCCAGATGCAGCCGAGTGTCAAATGATGCCTCAGGTCGCATTATCATCCATCCTCTGTCTCCTCATACTTTACTGGCAAGTCGTTGGCACCATTTCTGTCGGAGCCTGAGACATATGGGCACATGAATGCAACTGGGCCTAAGCCGGCTGCTCTCCTCGGTGTTAAATGAAGGATACATTGAAATGTTTTGCTAGAAAATGGCCTAGGCCTGTTGAAAGCAATGCCATAGCCTATTAAGGTGCGTGTGTAGAAATGTAATGTGGGAAAGATTTGCCGAAACAGGCATCATACTGACAATAGATGGTATTGAGGCGCAATTCACTATACATCCTCCAGCGGGTGCAATTTCTCTGATTGGCATTTTGAAAAGAATCACTACACTTATTAATTTTGCAAGGATTAAAGTATCTGTAATCTCAGCCTATTAAAGTACATCTTTAAAAAAAATCTTAACTCAGAAAAAACAAAGCTTCATTGAGGTGAAAAAGGCTAAAGATGCCCTGTGTTCCTCATGTGTATATAGGCTCTTACTTTCAGATCCCTTCCAACTGTATAGGGCAGGGTTACAAACTGAGGGCGGCCTCATGCTTCAATGTCAAGTCTCCCCAGACTGATGCATACTACACCAGGGACACCATTTATTAAGAGAGAAACATACAAAGAACATTTTCATTGCTGGATAGGGATTGGTACAAAATTGGACAACTGTTAATAGTGCAGGTGGTGAGAGAAAATGAGAAGGCTGTGTCTTTATTGCAGTGGTGAGATGTATTTTTCCTCACACACTACGTAAATACAAATCTGAGATACTCATTAAATATACTCAAGTATAGTACTTTACACTTATACATATTGTAATTTAGTTTGTGTATGTTATAGCCTATAGTAGATACAGATTTTACTTGCAAAACGAGTTTATAAAATATAATGTATTTTTATACATTAGAATACCCAACAACAGGATACATAGGCCATTAAAATGAAGTCCACCATGACAAACCGACACTGAGAAGCTGCGTAATGACTCAGTGATAATAATGTAATGATATAATATATTACAGAATATCACTGACAGGGATCATTCTTTCTTAATACTGAATACTTCCTTTTGATACAATAAGTTGATTTTGCTTTGTATGGGATATTTCTATACTTTTTTTTAATCGCAATATTGCTATTTGTACTCTGATCTGAATGCTTCATCACAACTGCTTAATCGTTACCTCACTTATTAACTTGTGTTACAGTGTTTTCTTGCTTTGCCAGCTGACCGCTGTGCAGCCCTTACAAAGGAACGTGGATCCGGTGCTTGGACACTAGAAGTCACATAACTGGTTTTATGCCCTGCAGCCTACAGAGAGTAACGCATTTAAACGTGCTCCACCTTTTAAGCGACATACTTTTTGACCGAAGTATCTTGGTGGAAATTAAAAACTTAATTAAATTGCTTTAATACAACCGATGGTATAGTTTTCCTATTGTGGCCACTGGCATGCGGTCACTGTTGTTCTTGACTACAGTCTCATTGATGTTTCCTCTTGTGTTGTGAAACCTATAATTAGTCCGCATATCGCCTTTTGACCCTTCCTCCCCGCGTGTTACCCTTCCACAACCCCCCACGAGCGCCGTCGGTGCGGGGATAAACCCAGTGTGTATATCGTCTCGTGGTGCTTCTGGGCTTCCGACGGGCTGCTCCTCAGCACCTGCAGGCCGGCGTCGGTCCCCACCAGGCGGCTTCCTGACCAGACTAAACAGGGATAGGAAACGTAGACTTTGTGTGGACAAGTACAACATTTTAGAAAACATTGGAGAGATTTTTGTAGATTCATTATTTGACTTAATTATGACGCGACGTGAGAAAAAGTATTTAAGAGCTTACCCAATAGCCTGTTGTAGAGAATAGCAAACCAATGAAATAGGCTTCACACTGTATAACATGCATATTGAAAATATACACAATTTGAATCCCTCTGAACTTGATTCAAAGCGGAGGATTAATTGGCTATAGTGAAATTGACACACTATCAGCTAACTATCAGCTTTCAGGCTATCCTAAAACCACTTGTTATGACGTTGTTGGTTTAATAATACAGTTCCATTATAAATGCTTTAGTCATCGCCCAAACAAACAAAAAATACGACCAATTAGTCTGCGTTTAAATGAGTGGAAACATTATTTAACCTTTGACACCTTTACAAGCCATTAAACAGTCAGAGGTCAGGCGCCCCCAGGCATCCTTTTCCCTGCTCTCCACTCAATGGCAGCTGGGTTCAAGGAGAAAAAAATACATTATTGAAATGAATCATTAGGGTACGTTTCCCTTTGTATCGTGACAGGCACAAATCCCAAAACAGACTCCCCCCCCCCCCAACGAGATTAACCTTGACAACAAAGCATTCCTCAGGACTTCAAAAAGGAGATGGAAATGGATGCACAGATAGGAGATGGTGACATTCTTAAAATATCACCCTACTGTCCCATTAAATATGACCAATGATATCCTTTTGTGGAGAGAGGACATGTAAGATGCTGTCTTTCTTTCATTTTGTATGACATGACATGGGTTCTTATTATCTTGGAAGTTGAAGTTGAATTTTCACAATTAAACATTTTTTAACTAAATAATTTGCACATAATAATTTCCGTTTTTTTAATGGGAATTTTTAAAAAGTCTTTCAGTTATGCAGCTTGAATGGCCTCTTGCTTTAGATTTTATTCATTAATCAGTGGAAGATGTGATTATATTTGTCTGTAATGTGATTACAGCTATACTTCAAATGGTTTATCAAAACTAAGAGGGAAATGTGTGTAGAAGTAGGAAGTCTGGTCAATGAGTGAATGTATGCGTGTGTATGCTTTCTTCATAGAACCAGGTGCAACATTTCAACATTTGAACTATAGTGCAGTCTGATGTTTAGACAGCCTCCAAGTCCTGACTTCTAATGGAGCAACGGACAGCTCAACCCAATTCAACGGCAAATCCGGTTGCTGAAACCAGAACAATGCTATCAGTGAGCTAAGCTTTTTTTGTTTTGTTGTAACCCTCCCCCTTCAGCAGTGAGACACCAGACAGAAGTTTGAATGGAAGTTCTGCTCAAAGAAAGTTTTTTTTTTTATGAATTACAAGAATTTAATGTTTATTTTACAGATACAGAACAGTCATTCTGCTTCATTTATTTACATTGAATTGCTGCAAGTCAGTGCCATAGTACAAGCTTCTCAGAGTGGCTCAAGATGTTCAGAACGTTTCAAAAATCAAATCTTTTTTTTTTTTTCTCAAACAAAAACATTTCGGTGTGTTCGACACCCCCTCTGATGAGCTCAACATGCAAACATCTCGTCTACCTAGAAGGTTGATGGACTATATAACATATGGCTTTTTTTTTAAAGCAATAAAAACAAGGCAAATCAAAAAGTGCATCCAACACAAAAAAAATAATTCATTTCCAGTCTGTGATCAAAGGTATTGTCTGTGTTAAGGAGAGGTCCCTCCTGTCTCCTGTGTTTGCTGGCTCAATGTCTGCACCGCTCAGGTAAGAGGTGCCCTGGTGTGGAACTATTGCCATTTGGGTTCAAAGAGTAGACCTCTTGAAGGACCCGGAGCAGGTGCCCGTGCTTCACGCAAAGATGCATTTCCTTTAAATAAATACGTCACAGTTTATCCAGCAGCGCTTCAGCCCGTGAACGCACCCCGCAGGTTGCGTAAGCCATCAACAGACAGGACTGTGTTGCCTTTCCTGTCTGTTTCCATTCCAACAGTGAGCGCCGTTAGCCCTGGTGGACAGCAGTCATTATCTGGGCCCGTAGTCATAGTTAGAGGGGCCGCTGGTGGCTGAGTACATGTTAGCTGTGGCTGGGTTCATGTGGTGGTGGTACGTGTGTCCTCTAATGGGTAAAGGATAGGGTGACGGCCTGGTCTTGGCTCCCAGGTAATGTTCATAGGTGGTGGGGTACTTGTAAGGGTGGTGGTGCAGGGTGTCCGGGGGTAGACCATGGGGGTCTGAGCGAAGGTCGTGGGGAGGGCTGGGTCGGCCACTGGTGAGTGAGACGCCGTGAAGGCCTCCTGGGACGGGCAAGGCGGGGCTGAGGACCCGGGACATCAGTTGGTGAGCCGGGTCGGCGTGTATGGGCGTGCCGCTGGGGTCTCGCTCGTAATCCCGCCTACTGTCCTCTGTGCAGGAAGAGACATGAGAACAGTCAGGGCTAGCCAATATTTACGA